TCAAAAGTTGTAGCTTTAAAATGATAATGGTTTACTTACAACAACATATTAGACCTAATAAATTAAGTACAATATGTTAAAAGTTAAAAACATAACTTTATAAGTAGAAGAAAATATATTCTTTTAATATTGAAATTTAGTTTATATATGATTACACTTTAGGTTTTTTATTTATTAACCTTATTAACCAACTTATAATCATTATTAGAAAGAAATTGAAAAGTCATGGGAGTTTCAAATGAATGTGGTGAAAGAAAAATAAATGGGAGTTTCAAATGAATGTGGTGAAAGGAAAAATTATTCCTTTATAAGTATATATATAATGAAATGATGATTTTTAATTAAGCCAATTATTAATTGATGTGTAAATTTGATTTGTTAATTAAGAAAAGATAAAAAAATGACAAAATGACAAATGGAAAAAACATTTATTAAAAAATACCAAAAAATGACATGTGTCCAAGTGAATGTAAGAGTGACAAGTGGCAAAAAAAATTTCATTTATTAGAGAAGACTAAAAAATAAATTTACAATAAATTATAATAGATACACCAGTAATTTTATAGGCTCGATTCGATTCAGCTTGGATTATACTAGTCTACTAGATAATTGAACTCAAATAAACCAAATTAATTTCAAATATTTTTCGAATCAATCTCAAATACATACTCGGTTCGACTCATGTTTTGGCTCGTCATTTACTTTAATTTATTTATTACTAGGTGTAAGACCCATGTATTACATGAATTAATTAAAAAAAATTAAATATAAATGTTTAAATATTTAAGAACTTTGGATTTATAAGAAAAATAATGAATTATTTAAATTGATTTTTTTATCTTTTAAATTTAAATAAATAAAGAAAATAAACTAATGAACTTTAATTTGAGAATTTTGAAATAAAAAAGTAAGTTCATTAATGAAATTGATATTCATTTTTTATTACATTTATTGTAATTATTACATTAAAGTATTATGTGAAATTTATTAAAATAGAAAAATTCATAAAATAACATGTGGAAAAAAATTAATTCAAAATAAGCACAAAATGATATTTGATAAATTGAATAAGAGTGTCACATCTGAAAAAAAAAAAACAACTTTCAGACATGGTTGTTAAAATCGCGATCCTGATCGTAGGATCGTAGGATCGTAGGATCGTACGATCCTAGGTATGAAAAAATGATTCGGATCGTAAATGGATCGTATTTGGGATAGGATCGTAGGATCGAGATTCGATCCTACTTTTCCTTGATTTTTTTTTTTGCAAATGAAATTCTTTTTACCACTTTATGTCTTTTATCCTTTACCAATTACCATTTATCATTTTGTGTCGTGATTTATGACTAATATTTTGAAGTTTTATAACGA